AAGAGCGGCCGGGAGTGCTGGACGGCAGATTTCACCCACGAGCTCTTCCGCTTCGCCCTGGAGTGTGAGTGTCAGGGCTACAAGTCTCTTCAAGATGGGCCACACGCTGCATTTCCCCCAGCTTCTTCCTCAGAGATGGACCAACAAGCTTCTCCGACAAAGCCATAGGGTCTAGAGGGGTGCCCCCTTTCCAGACAAGGAGAGAACAACTCAGTGCTCTTGATAAAACACTTCTGTCATCTAACGGTCATCAGCTGGTAGCCAAGCCTAACCAGCAAGGGATGCCTTCACGGCCCCGCGATGCTCACAGCGAGCAAGAGGCCAAGTCAGACCCCTGGAGCTGGCCATGGGAGGGTGGAAGGGAGGGGTTTCCCCCAGCCAGGGCCCCTCACAGGAGCTTTGCTTGCAGCTGTGTGCCATGTGCTGTATGGGGAGCGGCTGGGGCTGCTGCAGGACTTCGTGGACCCCGAGGCTCAGCGCTTCATCGACGCCGTGACCCTGATGTTCCATACCACTTCACCCATGCTCTACCTGCCGCCCACCCTCCTCCGCCACCTCAATGCCAAGACGTGGCGGGACCATGTCCAGGCCTGGGATGCCATCTTCTCCCAGGGTGAGTGGTTCTCCTGTGTCACCCCAGGAACATTTGAGGACTTGGCTCCATAGTGCAGCCTCATCTCATCAGTGTGGAGACCTCTTGGGTCCAACCACCCGTTGCGGGGCCACTGAGGCCAGGAAGGATTTCCACATCTGGAGCTTGTGGGATGGAGCAGGGGCGAACCATCCAGGACCAATAAAGGCAGATGATGGGCATCATGTTGAGGGGCGCAGCTCTCCCAGAGTGGCTGGTGGCCTCAGAGACCTTTTGGCACCTGGGACAACCCTCCTGCAACCTCACCCTCTGTGCCCTCCCCCAGCTACTGCTGGGTCCTGCAGCAGGGACTGCAGTCCCAAGCTGACACAGGAGCAGTCCCCATGAAAAAGCCACCGGCAGAAGGCAGCGGTGTCCTAAGGTCTGGTGTCTTTCTCCTCCACTAATGGCCTTGTCTCTGTCTCCTCAGCGGACAAATGCATACAAAACGTCTACCGGGACCTGCGGCTGCAACGTAAGAGCACCAAGGAGTACATGGGCATCCTCTGCAGCCTCATCATGCAGGACAAGCTGCCCTTGGATGACATCAAGGCCAGTGTCACCGAGATGATGGCGGGCGGGGTGGACACAGTAAGGAGCGGGCAGGGGTGCTGGGCAGGGAAGTGGTCCAGGCTAGTGTTGAGCCTTGCTCCCCTGCCTCGCTCCAGACCTCCATGACGCTGCAGTGGGCCATGTTCGAGCTGGCACGGTCCCCAAGGGTCCAGGAGCAGTTGCGGGCAGAGGTCCTGGCCGCCAAGCAAGAGGCAGCTGGGGACAGGGTGAAGATGCTGAAAACCATCCGGTTGCTCAAAGCTGCCATCAAGGAGACGCTCAGGTGAGGAGGAACCCCCAACCCTGACCCTGAAAAACACCCTCCCCAAATGGCTGAAGCTGCTGGGATGTGGCGAGGCCGTCCCCACAACCAGGCACGTGGCACCTGTTCCTCCCCAGGCTGCACCCAGTGGCAGTGACCCTGCAGAGGTACACCACGCAAGAGGTCATTCTCCAGGACTACCGCATCCCCCCCAAGGTGAGCCACCTGCTCCTTCCTCACCCTGACCTGCTTCTCATGGGGCTCTGGGTGCACCTGGAGCACAGATGGGTGATGTGGGGGGATGCAGCCATGGGGCTTGACCCCATCCCTGCACCCCAAGCACCAGCAAACCACGCAAGATGCCCAGGGACGACTCCTTCCCCACAGACACTGGTGCAGGTTGGTCTCTACGCCATGGGTCGTGATCCTGAGGTCTTCCCCAAGCCAGAGCAGTTCATCCCCCAGCGCTGGCTGGCAGCTGGTCCCAAACACTTCAAGGGGCTGGGTTTCGGTTTTGGACCCCGCCAGTGTCTGGGACGTCGGATTGCTGAGCTGGAGATGCAGCTCTTCCTCATGCAGGTCAGCATCTCGCTGTTGGGGACACCGGGGACTTGGCGCTGGAAGGGACCAGGGAGGTGGCACATGGGTGTTGGTACCTCCAGTGTTTTGCCACTGTTCCTTTCTCCTCCATCACAGATCTTGGAGAACTTCAAGATTGAAACCATGAGAGCAGTTGAAGTCGGGACCAAATTCGATCTCATCCTCATCCCAGACAAACCCATCTACTTAACTTTACGGCCCCTCCAGTCCCAGGAGTGAGGAACCTGATCCTGGGTGACACCCAGCCAGTCCCCATTTTGAAGGGGGACCATCCCCAGCAAAGGCCCTTTCAGCTCCTTTACAGCTGCAATCTGGCCCCAGGGATGTGATTTGGGGAACAGCTGGGACGCTTTCACGGTCATGGCCTTGTCCCTGCCTTCACTTCAACCCGCTCAAGGCTGCGCTTAACGCCACAGGGGAGATTAACCCGAGCAACCCCCACCCCTGTAACCGCCAAGGGAGTGTGGGGTTGGGGGGAGTGGGGGTGCTGCTGCACCCTGCTGCTGCTGGGTGATTCCCCAAGGACCACACTCTTCTGACACCCTCCAATGTTTTGCTTTGCCTCTGATTTACTCTGGAATTTCATCATGTGAAAAAGCACCAACTTCATTTCCTTTTTTTTTTCCCCACCAGGGTTGGGTTGCTCCGTCTGTCGGGTCAGGGCAGGGGGGGTAGAACTTGCGGTCTTCTCCGGGGGGCCATGGAGATCACCGGCAGGTTCTGGTGGGGAATGGCAGGCAAATGGTCCCAGGAAACAATAAACCCTCCCTGATGTGGGTCGGGGCATGGAGACCCTCCACTATTTCTCCCATCCCAGCTACCTGAGTGTAGAGGGGAGGCTCTGAGCCCCCCTTCACCCCCCTGGCTGCCAACCCTCAAGTGGTGTCCCCCCTGGGTGCTCACCGAGGCATAGGGGAAGCCGTGGTCCCTCTCCAGCAGCCGAGTGCTGAGCTCCTGCTTCTCCCGTCCCCACCTCCTTGCTGTCTCCTCCAGCTGACACCAATCCAAACCAAGTGGGCTTTCTCTGGAGGGCGCTCGCCCTCCTCAAGCCCGCCACCAGCAAGTGGGGTGCTGGAGGGGGATACTCACCTGCCTCTCCAGCACC